GGGGAGGCGATGAAGGGGGCCGAGCTGTCGAACTTGAGCACGGAGATGCACTTCATGTAGTTCTGGCATGGCTCCCGCAGGCAGACGTTGTCATCGAAGGGCAGCACCTCCAGCATGGAGACGGAGGTCAGAGTCATGCGCTTCATGTACAGCTGCTCCTGAAGCTCCTCCGAGCTGAAGAAGTGGCCGCCGCGGGGAGCCAGCGCTGAGAAGCTGACGTTCAGCACTGAGCCCCCCACATCCGTGTCGTTCTGGATGTTGAAGATGAAGACATCCTCCTTGGGTGTGGCCAACACAGTGGCCACGCCCTCCAGGAAGCTGGTGAGCAGCGGCGAGAGGAAGCGTTCCTGCCACATGTTCTCCAGCCGCACAGTGATGCTGTTGGCCAGCATGTCCTCTGTGATGACGATGACACGCAGGACGCACTGGGCTGTCACGCTGTGGATCCCGTCTGCAGAAGAGATGAGGAAAACATTAAAGCACGGCAGCTGTTTGACTGGAAGATGAGGGCATGAGTGGGATAGAGCTCTGAGTAGGGCCCTACCAAATTCACGGTCATGAAAAACGTGTCACGGACCGTGAAATCTGGTCTTCCCCATGAAATCTGGTCTTTTGTGTGCTTTTACCCTATACTACATAGATTTCAAGGGGGGAGACCAGCGTTTCTCAAATTGGGGGTCCTGACCCAAAAGGAAGTCGCAGGGGGATCACAAAGTTATTTGGGGGGGTCGTGGTATTGCCACCCTTACTTCTGCGCTGCCTTCAGAGCTGGGCAGCCAGAGGGCGGCGACTGTTGGCCAGGTGCCCAGCTCTGAAGGCAGTGCCCCGCCAGCAGCAGTGCAGACGCAAGGATGGCAATACCATACCATGCCACCCTTACTTCTGTGCTGCTGCTGGTCGTGGCTCTGCCTTCAGAGCTGGGGTCCCGGCCAGCAGCTGACGTTCTCCAGCTGCCCAGCTCCCAAGGCAGCGCCGCTGCCGGTAGCAGTACTGCAACCCCCCACCCCCAACTCCTTTTTGGGTCAGGACCCCTACAATTCCAACACCGTGAAATTTCAGATTTAAATAGCTGAAATCATGACATTTATGATTTTAAAATCCCATGACCAAGACATGGACCAAAATGGACCATCAATTTGGTAGGGCCCTATCCATGAGTAACCAGAGCTCCACAGATCCCACTTCAAGCTTGGCCTAAACCCCATGGCCAGGCCTAATTTCTGTGGCTACTTCAGCACCCAGAGAGAAGTCTCTGCAACAACTTTTGATACACTGAATAGTGGAGGGTATCAGTGTGTTCAGTGTGAATAACCCACTTAGCACAGCCCTTCCCACACTGGTATTTCACTGGATATTGAATCCTGTTCATTACACTACCTCTGCATGTACAGTTCTCAGCGTGCCACCGACCGGTGTATTAACAACACACCACAACCACCATAGAAGCTGTCAGAGGGAAGCTGAGTCTCTGGCAGTTGAAAAGGGCAACTTGGGTTGTGGCCTAAGGATGTTACTTTTGAAATGATTGACAGTGAAATAGTCAGCAATGGTGCCATTTAAACTGTCATCATTATGTTTGAGAATTAATTCTCCACTGAGCGTCAGAGGGCAGTTCCACTACAGAGTTATTGTTTCAGGCACTCTGCAGACTCAGGCAGACATTCCTGCATTGATTACATTCAGGTCACTTTTGGAAGGCTTCCCTTGCTACCATGAGGGCTAGATTTTTTTTAAAATGATAGCTGAGATTCTGGAGCATGAGTCTGTGCCACTACTTAATACATGGAATCACAGACTACATGAGTCCTGTATATATAACCAACATGACAGGGTGTGCACCAGAGCACATGCCTGCTGTGCTCAGCACACACTGGACCTGGGCAGAGTCTGCCACTAAGCTTCTGTTTGATTTGGGTCTTTGCACACTTGGGAGCAAATTGGGTGCTCATGAAAATGAGCAAGCAATAGTGCTGGCTAGCCATGGGCACAGCTGGGGGAGGGAGGGGCTGAGGAGTAAGTGAGCACTGGGGTGGCGGGAGCTAAGAGCAGATAACAGGGTTTCAATGTGTTTTGGCTACTAGTATTCTGTCAATTAATTCTTTCTGCTTTTCCCTCCCCCCTTCCCTCTGTCTTCTCCCCTTCCCTCTCCATCCCCTTCCTCTCTTCTCCTGGGTCTCAAAGGCTCTATGCCTGTCTCACTGCTTCCTTCCTCCTCCCCATCTGCTCCCCATCTCATTCTGCTCTTCCTTCCTCCCCCAACTTGAATTGTTTTATTCTCTTTTATCTTTATCTTCCTTGCAAACAAACTCCAGCCCCTGGGATCCTGTTCCGTGAACATCCCTGGAGCATGCTGAGGTGGCTGCCCCTTCCCCCTGGAGCCCAGGCTACTAGCAGCTAACACTCAGCATCCCCACGACTTCAGATTCAGAGTCCTCAGCTCACCAAATGCTCAGGGGGCAAGCCTGCCTCCTCTGGAATGAGAGTGGAGAGGGACCCTTCCTCCAGGCGCAGATCTCAGTGAGCGACGTGCAATCAAGGCAATAGGCTGTGTGGGACCAGGGCCGGCTCCAGGCACCAGCCCAGCAAGCAGGTGCTTGGGGCGGCCAAGGGGAAGGGGCGGCACGTCGGGCTGTTCGGCGGCAATTCGGCGGCAGGTCCCTCTCGGAGGGAAGCACCTGCCCCGAATTCCCGCTGAAGAAGAAAGCAGCGCGGTGGAGCTGCCGCCGGAGTGCCACCGATCGCAATTGCGATCGCGGCTTTTTTTTTTTCCCCGCCGCTTGGGACGGCAAAAACCCTGGAGCCGGTCCTGTGGAGAGGGACTCCCTTCAAAGGCCAGCAGGGATGGCGTCAAGTCTCCCTGGCAGTGAGAGACTGCCCCCGAGGCCTGCCCGCATGGCAGTGCAGATAGGAAAACATAAGGCCACAAGGCAGACTCCTGGGTCTAATACTGTTACTACTCCATTGTTATTAACTGGTTTCTACAGGGCATTTCAAAGCGTCAAATATTTCACCGAATTCAATTCACGTAGGGATCACTTTCCACACCCTGGGCATTCTGAGCTGGCGGCCCCTTCCCCCTGGTGGCCAGGGTGCTGCTGGCAGCCGACACAGAGCTTCCCCCGACTTTAGACTCCGCATCACTCCACTTTCCCTCCCACTAAAATGCATCTCGCTTTGGGTGGAGTGCAGCAGCACTTCCCAGCAACACTACGCAAGACTTTAGCACAGGAAGTGCTTAGAACTTAGATACTGCAGTGATGAGTAGGAAGGTAGGTAGATAGAGCCAAGTTAGGGTTTAGCCATAGAATGGAAGACTATAATTACCCAGTTGGGGTTTTGCCAAGACAATGAGACTAACACCCTGAATCTTGCAAAAATGCCATGGGTTCTTTATTCATCAGGAGTGCGCTGGGCCATAGTTTTCCATCCTGCTAACTACCCTACCCTGTATGAAGCCTGCTGGTCCCTGGTATGGCTGTTCTTAACCTTCCCTGATCTAACTAGGGGGAAAGTAGGTTTCTGTTATGTCTACACTAGCACTTTTGTCAGTATAATTTCTATTGCTCAGGGGTGTGAAAAAACACCCCTCTGAGTGACATAAGTGACACCGACAGAAATGCTCTCCCCTCCGACATAGCTACCGCCGCTTGTTGGGGGGTGATTTAATGATGTTGATGAGAGAGCTCTCTCCTGTCGGCACAGAGCAGCTACACGAGCGATCTTACAGCGACACCGCTGCATCGGTACAGTTGTGCCCTGTAAGCTCCCTAGTGTAGACATGGCTACGCAGTGATTTAATTTTTTTAATACTAACCGACAGCAAATTAGTGGCTTTGTCAGGAAATATTCCAATGCCCCATTTGATCACAAGTCCAGCCCACTCACACCCCTCAGCCACCAAGGGGCCCCTCCCTTTCCTCCTTCAAATCTTTTCCTGGAAGACGCTTCTTCCTGCAACCCCTGCTCCCTTCAGGCCCCACTCATTAGTGACGTCAGCTGAGTTACATCGGGGATGAATCTGACCCTTCTTCTCTTCATGAGAAATCCCCACATCTTCCTGCCCCTTGTGCATTTGTCTCTTTGTGAGCCAGGAAGCTCTTCAGGGCAGGGCACGTGCTCTGCTGATGCTCTGCGAGGGCGTGGGGAAATTTACAATGCTATAGGAATGTTTTATAATAATCATAAGAAAACTTTCAATTCACCATCTAATGGAACAATCCATCTTCAGACTTACTAGACAGCTGCCTTGGTGTCATTTGGCACTTATCCTTCACATGTATAAGGTGCTATTCCTCACTTGTCTACTCCCTGGGTGGCTGTTGTGTGAACTTCTCCTATGGTCGGCGACAAGTTGCATGCAGGTATCAGCTTCAGCACCGCACACAACACAGATTCTGGGAAACTCCGGATTTAAAAACAAACCTTCTTCAGCCACAAGACTGGCAGGCACCAATATTGTGAGCCAATATTCACACCAGCCTCAGTGTTTAGGACGGCTGCAGCAACTCATACCAAAGCAGCAACTTGCTGGACCAGGGGAGGTGACTTGCACCTGTGACCAAGCTCGGCCACCTTGACTCGGACCCCAATACCCCTTAAAAGTGCTAACACAGGAACGGTGCTGGTAAACGGATGGAGCTGGTCCCCTGTAGAGACATAAAAGGCTTGCAGGCTACAGAACCAGTGTCCTTCCCTCCGATCTCCTCCCTCTCCCCTTCCTGAGCCAGTGCGATCATCTCTGCAAAGCACCACTTGAAAGAGCCTTGATCGGTTTCCTGGAAGGGGCATTACTCTTCCCTTGTCTGCTGCAGAAAGATTGGGCCTGGCGTCTGACAGGAAAATGGATCCCCCAGAAATGGCCTCGCACATTCCCTTTCACAGGAACACAGGGCGTCTTTAATCCACGCTATTGTTAACATTTTTGTGCCAAGTTCAAGGAATATCTTGCGGCTTGGGACTCAGCACACACAAGGGAGGGGCGCTCTGATTTATGACATAGCTTAGGGTTCAAAGGAAACATTCATCTCGGCAGGAAAAGCAAAGAGATGTGAGTGGATTTATGGGGCTGTGCCACTGTGACTAGGATAACTTACATGGTCTGGGGGAAAACCCCACCTTCTGCAACTGCCTCCCCTCCTCCCACTCACCCCTTGGTGTCCCACCAGGGAGCCCCTGCAGCACTGGGGAGGCCAACGCACTGTCAGTCCCTTTTCTTAACCTCCCCTCCATGCCCTGGAGAGTCTCTACAGCAACTGGGGGGGAACGTTCTGATAGTGCCTTTCGACCCTTCAGAGGAGTTAAATCAGCAATGGGCACCCGCAGGCCAAGACCCTGAACTCGAGAAGCTGAAGGTCCCTCAGGACACTCCTCTGAAGGTCCCTCTTCCCAGAGTTACCATTTGTGGAGGGTGTTTGCTTATCAGTGCCTAGCAAATGCTAGAGCCCAGATAAA